AAAAGAAAACGAAAAATGAAAACTTATCAGTCAATAACCAAAACAAATACAAAACAACAACAACGATTTTAAAAATAACCATGTTGTTCATACAAACTTGTTATTCCTTTTCGCCTTTTTGTGGGGTGTTTTATTTATTAATTCTCTTATTTGATCGATTTAAGAATATTTTTAGTATTAAAAATACCACAAAGCATTAAATAAGTATTTTTAGTTTTATAAATAAGAAATAATAAATAATGTATTTTTCCTTGTTTTTTTTTGTTTTTAATGACAAGTAACTGTTTACACACTTATCTTCAATGTCAATATTGAAAATGAGTTTGACGCGATGGACATTCATGCCGTAGTCTTTCGTGTCCCAATTAAAGGCACGAGTTTTTCCGACACGATGTCGAATTAAAAACTCTTGTTATAAATAACTTCAAATTATTGTTTGACTATTCTTAAAGTTAAAATAGTTATAAAGTTTTAAACAAAGTAAACACGAATTTAATTAAATTTTATCACGTTTTGAGCTCTTTACATAACAGCTATACTCGATGGAATGTCAACTTTTACTCTGATCAAGTGGGTATACTTCGCTACTTTACAAAAGAGGTGGAGTACATCAACTGATTTGTTGATTTCAAGTAATAGGTATATAAAAACTTTAATGTCATTGTTTTTATTGACATAGAAGTGCTTTACTCCAAGAACCCAAGCACATTTCACGTGTGACATGTAAGAAACAATGTACACTTCCAATTTAGTGTTGCTCACCAACTTAAGTAAAAAAACTCATTTTTGTCGTACGACTTCATCACAACTTTGTAGTTGGCACTTTTTGGTTCTTGGATCCTCAGAATCTTTTTGTGTTGGTACTCGACCCTTTGCCTTCGGAAGTCTTACCAAATAAATCAATTGCACCAACTACCTCTTTCCCGACACCAGCAATAAATCCACCAATACCATCTTTCTACTATTAACAACATGCTAATACACCAACTCGGCAAAACCATTGAACATTTTACTTGAAAACGACTCCCACCCCCTTTTCATTCCTTCTCCTGTCGTTTTCCCACAGCGATTTGCATTTCTCTTTTCAATGTACGCATGATTAAAACTTAAAGAAGCAACAAAGGACGAAAAAGACTTCGACATCCCAAAAACGGAAGACGTGGCACCATGCTTAGTGTTCTTAGCTTGACATCTGACACCCTTGCCATCCCATGCCCAAATAAACTCACGGAAACGGTGAGATACCGTATTGGCTCGTAGAAGAAGTCGTGACATTCCGTTGAAATGTTTTTCAATAGTCCTCGATGGTTTCCCAAAAAGAAGAATTTGCAAAGATGAGGATGGCTTGTTAATGAATTGCTTGCAGTAATGTTCGATGATAACTCT